GATGAAGCCTGATGTAGAATTTGTGAGTATTTTGGAGGCTTAGCAGATTTGCTTAACTTCGCGGCGCAAGGCGTGGCGTTTATAGCTCAGTCGGTAAAACGTTGGCTGCGTAAAGGTCTTCCCCCCTATGCCGATTCAAATCCCGCCGAACGCCGCGAGTTTTTTTCACAATTCGGTCAACTAAAGTTGCGATCAGATATGCGCGCAGTGAGAGCTTCAAAGGTGAACTGATGCTGACTCCTCTCTTACTAAGCTTTGAGGTGAATATTCAAAGATGTGCCTGATGACATGTTTGTACTTCATCATAACGAAAGTGTCCTTCACGTGTCAGTAAAAGGAACTTAATTTGTGGTCGTCGAATCTAATAATTCCTAGCTATTACAGAAGCAATTCTAAAAGCACGCAGGAACTTGGGTGATCCACCAGCGTCCTTGAGACTTGTCCTCACGTTTAATCTATGAAAATGAAAATGTTCTCGTGCAGAATTCAAATACCTTCAGACGACTATAGACCGTTTAAAATCCTCAAAACGCCTACACATAACGTGGCGCCACAGTAAGAATGTACTCAGCGAAGTCCAAGATACTGCACCAGAATTTGAACTGGCTAAAACCTTCCGGCCGATGTACAGTCTAGGCCACAAAATGTCTAAGATTACGACCATCCCAAAACCCAGACGATCTGAGGGGAAGACTTGCCGTTCCAACTTAAATTCGTTGAAAAGACAACGAAATAGGCCGTGACTTTTTATAAAACAGGACGAAAGCTGCTGAGGTCCTGGAGTTCTGACGACGACTTTCAAACGGGCGTATTTTTTGAGCATTTCGCGATGCGTTGGCCAAACACAGATTAGCTGCTACCGGCTGAGGGTGAACGTGGTTACTACACGTGGGAAACTGAAGGACTTGACAGTGTTCTTCCTTATTTTTTCTAGTCTGAGATGGGCAAAAATGACCGCTTGTTCCGATGAACCATCAAATTTCTTTCTTGCAAACTTCATATGGCGTCTAACTTGGAATACCACATTTTCTGACACTGCCGACTACTCATTTCCATTATCGTTTTAGACCATTTTACAACGGCGGGCATTCATCCTTCTGATAAACCCCGTGACACCCACGGATAGTGGATCTTACCGCTGCACGGTGTTAGTCAATGGAAAGACGCATTCAAAAGAAATCGAACTGAACGTACTTGGTACGTTCACAAAATCCAATTAGAATATAGACGACAGTTAGTAGTCTTTCATCCACTCCAGTTCAGTTAAAACATGTTTGATAAGCTTTACTGATGTTTTGACTATCCCGTATCTCCATGATGTACTCTGTTTAGCAAAAAGAAAAAAACTAGCAAATTCGGACCTCGTTTTACCTATGAAATTATACAAAATCTAAATAACTCTCAAAAAATGCCGATTTCACAAATATCGATACACAAACGAAGGACGACCCAATATTTACCACATGAGAGACCTAAAAATATATAAACTTATATGATGCTCAATCATATGTGCATTTGTTCTCATTTTACAACAGAGTCTGGGGTTTTGCATCTTTTCCTTGGAGATAAATTCCCGATTCCAGGGCTTGAAAATGTATTCAAAGCCTTTACTTTTCAACTTGATTGTGAAACTAATCATTTTGCGTCTATTTAAAAATCATATATTATTTGTGATGTCAGAGACTTACAAAACATGGGAATCTATTTGGAGCGACAAATAAAAAATCTGCGTTTTTCGGGGAGGGGGGCGTGACCATTAACCGCTGAAAACCACCCTTGTTGGACTTAAATGTTTCCTCACATGAAAAGTGGGAAGGCTGTTCTCTGTCTTTCATTATTTTGTCTTCATTGCTTTGTCTAAGGTATTCGCCTTTGTTCCTTTATAACGAAGAGAGAGTGGGTGATTTTGGTACATTTAGTGAGCGAACATCTGCATTGGTTACTTAGTTTGTGCTTTTAACTTCCTAACAGTTACTCGAAAGGTTGTCGTTTTTAAAAGCAGAGGTTAATTATAAAGTAGATAGTCACAGAAACCGGGGGAGGAGTTATGAGTCGATACTCGTTACCTTTATCCTGCGTCCACTCTAGACATCAGATAAAACGAGTTAAGCCATAAATCAATTACCTACGACTGCCCAAGGGACTTACAGCTCACGTGATAGATTGACTTTAGCAGCGGCCATAGCGCCCGCCATCTGTTGCATTTCTGTCTGGCCGCCAATTTCGGAATCTACACTTTGATGTTATCACGCTTCAGTGATCCCTGCAATCGCTCCTGAAATGTGTAATAAGCCGCCGTGGTAATCATACGGACACGAAAGCAGTAGCGCCTGTTTCCTACGCCATAACTCACAGCTTTTGCTGCCAAAGAGTTCATGGGTCACAGAACGGCAAATGCTTAGTTGAATGGAGGCAAATCTTGCCTCGGGGGTTTAAATGTGTATGTTAGGTGTATCCAAGAGCGAGCGGGTATCAGTGTATCATTCAAACACACACGGTTGCATTATTTGGTATGCGGTGGTTACGCGTCAATTAAGAGTAAGCTGTTGCAAAGACCATCTTGCTCATGGGTTTAGATTCGATTTTGCCAATTTTTGGAAAGAGGATACGTTTTTGGCGTGACTTGCAACGATACAGTCTTGCGCGCGTTGGCCCAGCAAACTTACTGAATTAGAACTTTCCCTTGCTGATTCCGGTCCTGAGGTTTTATGCTGTATTCGCCAAAGATGTTCCTCCACTAGCTCCTTTAACCATAGGTTGGGTGGTAGTAACTTTGCACAGGTTTGTGCAAGGCAAAAAGAAATACGTGTTTTCTGCTTAAGCGTTGTGGATACATTTCCATTCGTTCATAATGTTTTTCTACTTCTCTCATACGAGGTTAAAACACTTTATTTCCTTTTTGTACTCAGGATAGTCTTCGAGGAGTATTCAGAGGATTCATTTAACTTTAAATTGGAAAACACGTATCTCAAAAAATTTTAATTGGAACATCTTCTTCAGATTCAGCTACCTTGCTGAAATACAGTTCATTGCGCAAAACATGCATTAACGATGGCATATATGAGAAGCCTACAATTAACATGTACCCATGTCAACTCCTCTGCAGGAATCCAATCTACGAAGACACGAGGATATGGCTTCTCACCATCCGGTCGATTGAAGGACACTGACCGAACTACTTTGATGATAAAAGCCGACAGAAAAGTTGCAGGAGGCAGTTGACAATAAACCTACGAATTTGTATTAGCTTTCAAACAAGAGAAAGCAACATAAAAATAACCAGAAAAAAGGATGCGGTTTTAATAGTATGCAGGTGCTACGAAAGCACGTCCCCTCAGTAAAACCAACAGCTTTAGTCTTTACTACAAGTGCAGTCATTTGATTCGGTGGTGGGATCGTCGGTAGCATCGGAAAAAAAAACAGGGAAAGGCACTGATTCAAGGAACGCGACCTATTCAGCGAAGTCTCGCCACATGACCCAGTTTGACGAGGCCGGAATACCCGAGCAAGGTGACAGCTATTTCAGTCGAGGACTACGCGTGACATTCCTTTTCGTTCTACGGTCCATAGTGAAAATCCTAAGTCATATTCATGGTGAAGATACCTTGATAAAGTAGTCATTTATATCGAGAGATTTTAAGGAACAGGACTTCCAGCAAGCGCAGTGGTGAATCAAATTTCCAAACATTCTTTACTAACACTACTTGTGAAATCGCGGTAACTGACGAATCGTGTGTGGACAACCAATGGTGATCGCGCTGTTTATAGTCGTCTGCGATTAATTTGTAGGCTGCTGGCTTCAGTGGATGTATTTTCCTAGCCAAGTAATCATTGCATCTCATGTACGCCGACTATCGTTATATGTCGCTTTTTCTGTTGATGTGTTCAGGCATGAAGGCAAAATATAAGTCAAAATAAGTTCTTGTTGGTGAACGTTGCGTCAGCTTGGTTTACGCATTTTAACTTTCCTTTACGTGGATACGCTACTGGCACATATTTCGATGTATGATTATGATGTATAATTGATATTTTCGTCATAGGAAGTTGACAGTAACGTAGAAAAGTACAAGCCGAGAGTAAAATATGTTACCACATTTATTAATTGCCCTTGACGATAAAACCTTAAAGCGTTATGTTATTTTGTCAAGGAATAAAGTGGCATGTTTACATCGTTTTGTCCTTACCAATAACTTAAATATCCGTTTTCTGCTTGTGAAAATTGTCTGTTATATCTGGAGAAGTAAAAAAGCTTTGCAACACCTTTTGCCAACTTCATATTCGTTTTCAGCTATTGTCGTACCAACGAAAATGCTTCATTTTGAATTAAACAAAACCAAAATATCTTGCATTTGAACTAAAAGTATAATGACTGCACTTACTGATATAGGATAAAGATCCTGCCTGTATTTTAAATTCGGATCACAGTGCAACTTCATCTATTGCTTACTAGCACCTAGTCTTTTATACCACCTATTAATTGATAATTCTTCAACAACGTATAAACGTGTTCAATGGACATATCCATTAAGAAATGTCTGATATGCATTTTGTTTGCCTACCGAAAACCATACTTTCTTGCACTTTTAACAATGGTTTCTGTGTGATTGTTTTAGTTCCACCAAAGATAGTCAAGGCACCAGCCTCGACCCTAAAGTTGGTAGAGGGTGATACACTGCAGCTCTCTTGTGTAGCGGAAGGCAATCCACGACCAACTGTGACCTGGTTGATTCAGCCCTTCAATCGAAACCTGTTGCCGTTAATTGGCAGGACCATGCTTCCGGCGCGACGGGTGCTGGAGCTGCTCGAACTAAGTAAGTTTCTCTCGGAGCGCATTATCCTCTCAGTTTAAATTGTGGTATATTACGATGTTTATATAGTTCATTTTAATTTCGAATGGTGCTTATAGAGAATGCGCTGATTTGATCCTGCTATCCGCTACAACAGTACACCTTATTTGTCCTCTCAAAACTTATCTAGTGGGTCAGTTGAACAGAAGACTTGTAAACCAGACTCACGCCTATAGAAGTGATGAGTAGGCATACAGATGACTGCTTTCTCAACTTCAACCAATTTGTTAGTTAGCATCCGGTAATAATTGCTTAAACATTGTGTGGCTGTGTAGACAGCCACAGGTTTGTGTATTTTTACCCTCGGGGGTTTCTGGTTTGTGCAAGACCACGATGCGAGTCTGTGAGGAAACATCAGAGCAAAATTAGTGAGGATTATGCAGTGGAAAGACAAGAACAAAACCTCTTTCCGACGGCGCCACTGATGTACCGATTAAGACTCATCTGTTGCTCATTTACGCACTTTGTGTGCATATACTCAGCGTTCGTTTTTTTCTGTTTGGGGATATAACCAGATAAAAGCAATATGGATAGGCCGCAACCAACCGTCGGCTCTCTTCCCTGCTTTGACCAGCCTATCTTTGAACCGTATGAAAATCATATTGGCGTGCAATCGTAGGCGTCCTAAAGCTTTAAGCCAACACCAGCAACCATCCGCTACTGAGGGCGGCTCAGGACAAAATGTGCAGTTTTTAGAGCCAATGCTGACTCTGTTATGGAAAAAAGAGTAATTGTATTCATTTGCTTTGCCAGTCGAGCGACCGTCTCTCTCAGGTGTGGGCGTGACCACACTGGGGTGGTCAGCCGGACGTCAGTAGCGTTGGCAACCGCACGGTTGCTTCAATCGCATGCCTAGAGTTTCCTCTGCGGCAGTTAGTCCGTGCTAACGGGGTGGTTCGCCGTGATCTACATTAAAAAGGCCGCCAAATTTAAGTATGGGGCTTCAGAAAAAATAAATACCGCTTCCATTTACTGCAATTAAATTGTATACTGCGATTTAAATGCCAGGAAACGAGAAACGAGCGGAATTCTGCAGACGAAGTTTCCGAAAGCAAGGAAGAAGTCATGCTAGCTCCATTCCCTTTGTCAGGCGTTCGACCCGTAGGAAAGTCGTAAAAATCATAATAACCTTCATTTGAAAAACAATGCGCAGAGAACTTTGTTGCTATCCATTAAAAGCATACGTTTCTGTGTCAATTAGAACGTGCACGAAGCAAATATAACATATATAAAAATGAATTTATTTTCGCCCAGGCACTTTTGTTTGGTTAATTTAATTGTTACTTCTTAACCTGCAACGGATCTTAAATTGCTTTCTGCGAGTGTCTGCCGCACCGTATCGTATAAGGAATATATTGCCACGCAATGTTCCTTGGCTTGTTTGAAACGAAACCTGCATCCCTGCTCTGAGTGTTCAACTCCTAGAAGAGAAGGTGCCAAGAAATATTGGAAAATTATTTTAAATATCAGATCATATTTTAAGTAGTTTGTTAGAATCTTTACTCATAACCTGTATTTGTATCTTATCAAGTGTTTTGAAACTATTAATTTTCCCAGCGTTTATCGAGATGAATGGGTATCTACAGGTCTCTCATTTGGACAGAAAACTCAGT